TAGCGATTGACAAATGAAAATTGCCTGATATTCTACAGATTGGGGTTTATTCTGCAATATCAGACTACTGCACTTGATGATCTCATATTGGCATGCTTTCTAAGATATGGTATCAAAAAAGAGACAGAATTACGGATTTCGTGGCTACAGAGCCCCTGTTATTCCCAGAGCTCCTCGATCAATAAGGGTAACCATTTTTTCTGAGTCATGTGTTCACAAACCACCTTCAGTATTATTCACTATGTCACCAAGCATGTCATCTCTTATTTCTTCCCAGAGGAGGGTCCCACTCAAGCATTCTTTTGAAGACAGCAAACTTTGTGCCTTTGAACTACTCGCAGCTGTAGCTGGTAAGTTGTTGCAGGAGAGTGAAAGCTCTGCTTCGAGTAATGTAGCCGAAGGAAATGAAAAGCAGTGTGCTTCTGGAAATGGAAATGGTAAGGGCCAGCTTATTGATGATAAGGCTTTGAAATCAGATAGCTTTGAGCATGGAAGCTGTGCCGAGAGTTCATTTGTTCCTGAGATATCCGTTCAAGAGCAAAATCTCTTCCCCAGATTCAAGGAGAAACCTGTGAGTTCGGATGTTTTAGAGAAAGTTGATTGCGGTGTGCAACTTGAGGAGGAGTGCAAATTCAATAAGAATGGAAATAGTGTTGGGGGATCAGTTTGTTTTGGTGATAGCTTCAACTTTAAAGTCGAGAGTGAACCAAAAATGGATTTGGGGGATGAAAAATGTCAGATAGGTGAACTGTCAATAGCCAAGACGTCTAATGTAAAGGAACCTAACGAAGAATGTGTTAATAGTAATTTGATAATTAATTCAGATAGTAGTGTACAGTTGCCCGTGTACAGGGAGCCTATTGCTGATGCTAGCTTGCAGAAGCAGTCGACTGATGTAAAATTAGGAGTTAGAGATGATGACGAAAATTCTTATAGGTGCAAGAAACTTAGCACCAAGGTTAGGCCCTTTAAGCCTCAACCAGGAACCGAACACCGTAGAATAAGGAGGATGATGGCATCCAAATACAGAAAGGTCGCTCCAAAGCGAAAGGGTCTTGAACTTTATAACATTAGTAAGTGGTCTTTACAATATTCTCCAAATACTCTGAAACGTTATCCTTTGGGTAAGTACATAACGATGCATTCTTCATCTTATATCTTCAGGTGAGGGAATGAAGTCGTTTTACCAGTATAGGAAGCGAATCTATACACGAGAGTGGTGTCAACCAGCACCTATCAAGAAAAGGAAGTTGTCTGATAACAAATATTCAGTGGCTTATGATCAAGATACCAGCAGCGGCAGTATCTCTAATTTGCCAGAGAAGGGAATTAGGACAGGTAATATTTGCTCAGCCTATATGCCTCGATAATTTGAACGTTACAGTTTTGACTGTATTTCTAATTAACTTTTTTTTTTGTCCATATTTATCTTGCAGCTAGTGATACAGTGAACGATTATTCTAAAGGCAAGGACCCACATGGTATAAATATATATCCCGTGTGTGGGATGTTGACTCTTCTTTTGAGTTTAGTTTTGATTGTGATATAATTAAGAGTTCTTACATTATTTTCGTCTCTCCCATGATCCCATCAGTGAAATTCAGCATTAAGTCTTTCAAGGTGCCAGAACTTTACATTGAGGTCCCTGAAACTGCAAGTGTTGGTTCCCTGAAGGTTTGTTTTCATTTACTTTTACAGCTTTTATGGTATAACGAAGGATCATTTCTTCGAAAAGCAGTCTTTATTTGAGTATGATAAGGCCATTGTGAACCTTTCTCACTGCTGATGTCAGAACATCCTTTAGTTATTGAGACATTACATCTGCAATGAACTACACTAGGTAATTTCGATTAGGAATGTACTGAGTTATGAACTTCTTCCTTTTCTTCTTCCTTTTTTTTTTTTTTTTTTTNCTGTGATGGAAGCAGTTACAGCTATTCTGGGGAACGGAATACGAGTAGGTCTCCTTTTTCAAGGGAAGAAGGTCAGAGATGACAATAGAACTCTGCAGCAAGCTGGTATTTCTCAGAGTAATGACCTCGATACCCTCGGTTTCACTTTGGAGCCGTGTTTTACTCATGTTTCCTCAGCCAAGGCTGCTGCTAAGAAACCCTCCCCAGTATTAACATGTGAAGAAAGTCCTGAGTTACCTAGGTACGATAATTCCTTTTTTCCATTTCGTAATCTTTCCTTTTCTCCATTTCGTAATCTTTCTAGTGCTAAAACATCTCTTGATGATTGCATTTCATTTTCGGAAATGATGCTGTGTTGTACTGTACTTCGGTTTTTCTCTTCGTTTCTTTACATTAACTCCTTATCTTCTACTTGTGTCTATCCTGAGTGAGTCCTTTAATTGAACTCGATCGATTTCTTTTTCATGTTTGTAACTTGTATTTAATATTTATTATTCCTCAGGTCTCCTGCCACTCTAGTGATCAATTCATCAATCTCGAATGCTTCAGTGGGCCCACCACCGACCCATTTGGTCAATAAATCTGATGAAGACAACGAGGACAATAAGAGACTCATATCATCCTCTCCCGAGTCGCCCGCTGATGAACTAATAATAGATCGAGCGGCTGCTGCTGTTCCTGAGCCCAATAATGCTTTAGTAGCTTTGCCTCCAATGAATGTGGGTCCACTTGCAGTGGTCCCTGTCGACTCTAAAACCAAACGTTGTGAACTTTCGCAGCGTAGAATCAGGAGACCCTTCTCAGTAGCTGAAGTCGAGGCACTCGTTGGAGCAGTTGAAAAACTGGGGACCGGGAAGTACGTTTTTTTGGCATGATACTAAAATTGATGAAAGATTATTTTTACAGTTATGCCCTTTATCCATGAGCCATCACTTTTTTTCTACTCGTTGTGCAGGTGGCGTGACGTCAAAATAGGTGCTTTTGAGAATGCTGATCATAGAACTTATGTTGATCTGAAGGTATTTCAAGAAATCTGTGTATTTACTATTTAATTTCTCTTGTGTATATTTTTCTCGTAATTTGAGTTGATTTTATTCGTAATTAGGGTAGTTGCTCTGGACAGTTTGGTGCTATTTGTCTCTTTGGATTTTTTATTCTTTTGTTTTTTTCTTTCATAATTGTCCATTTTATCTTATTCGATTATATTATCATATTCACTGCACATGCTTTTAATTATAATAATGTCATTACTGAAGTGAATCTTGTTATTGGTATGATAACAAGAGAAAGCAAAGGAATCATGCACATAGGTTCTTGTGGATCAGAGACCTCATGGTCATTTGGATTCTTAAAAGTAACATATTGTCCAATTTATTTATTTATTTTTTCTAAAAAAAATTTCAGGATAAATGGAAGACTTTAGTTCACACGGCAAGCATATCTCCTCACCAAAGAAGAGGTGAGCCGGTCCCACAAGAGCTGCTTGATCGTGTTTTAGTAGCTCACTCTTATTGGTCTCAACATCAGTCTAAACAAATCGGGAAGCACTCAGCAGCCGAGCCTTTGAAAATCGAGGATCCTCGTGAGGAGATTGTCGGAGCTTGAAGAATCTGCAAAACGTGATCTTGGAATGTAGAAAAATCGTTACTATTATAGGAAAATATAACATTGAAGTTGTAAAAAATGAAAGTTTGTCGTAACTTTGTTTAAATGTCGGTTGTAATTATCTCTCACCCCCTGATTCGTTGGTCGTTGCCTAGCCTTTTCATGTTCTTCGGTGTAGACTGTATTTGTTTTGAACTTTTGTTTCTGTACATTGTTGTGGAATAAACGGTGTTTTAACAGGTAGGTTTTGTTGGTGTAGCTTCATGAATCTTATTAGCTTTGTTCTCTCAAATTTATTCCTCTTTTCCCTTGCGGCCTTCAATTGATTTTGATGATTATATGGAGGCTAAAGTTCAGTATGGGATTTTTGATCTGTAATTTTGAATGCACGATATACATGTGGCATTTATTGAACTTGTGCTATATTTTTGTTGTAATTTAATATTTTCATACAGGTTCAATATTTTTATTTTCTATAACTGTATATTAGTTTGCATATGTCTATGCCGTGTTGTATGCGAAGTGATCATGTGCCCATAAAAGTATAGGTAATGCTACAAGATTTGAAAAATTAATAATAATAATTGCAAGCTACATGATATATTTTACTTTAGTATAGTTTTTCAATAAATAAATGGATATAAAGAAAGAGCAAGGGCAGTCACATGATACCAAATCAGAAAATAATTAGTTGTGATTACACTATAAAGCCGATATTTATTAAATCATATATTCATAGTATAATTCAATGTGTAAGAAATAAATAGATATGTGTTTTGTGGTTTATTTTATAGTTTGGCGGTGACACCCAAAATGCACGTTGTGTCATGTGAAATTAATTACAGTTACAGCTGTTGTTGTAGCTTCAAGGTTGGAATATATGATTGGCCACCGCCGACTCTATTTGTTTCGGATCACGAAATATGAGAACAATCATATTTTAAAATTAAATTTTTGCTCGGATTCAGTCTAATCATTTATTTATCATATATTTAATTAAATATTGATATAGCACATATTAGTAGCTCGGTAGAACCGGACAAGGCTAGCTCGGCTTATGGACCGAATTAGCTGAAACGATGGATTGGGAAGACAGCTCATCCATATTAATAGCTCGGCCTAGTAAGAGTATTAATAGCTCAGCCTCATGTATATATACTTATACCAATAAATGTCATATTTTTATTTATATTATTTTTCAAAATATGTTACTTCTTAATGAAAATATACATATTTGATAAAAAATGTTAACTACCTAATGACTAACGCTTAGGTCTAACTAATAGCAACATAACCGGCTTTTAAATTATTTCAGAACCAATAGTTATATTATCCAAAACAATACACACACATGCACATATGAGATCTGTGACCGCGCGTCGCGACACGGCAAATTTAAATTTATAATTTTTCCTTAACAAACCTCTACTAACTAGTAGTAGCGGCGAGTAAGGGTCAATCCCACGAGGAGTAGGAATTAAATTGTGATGATTCTCGTATTAATTGAACTAAACCTACGAAAGCAATAAAGGTGGGGGGGGATTGGTTTAATAAAAATAAAAAATAAAAATAATAAAATAAAATAAAAATTAAATAAAATAAGAGAAGTCCAGTTTTCGGTTCAGTTATCACCCAATCTAAATCTACCGTTAATTAATTTCGACGTTTTCTCTATAATGCTAATGAATTACCAACCCTAGCTAACAACAAGCTCTGTTAACCGAATTTTCCCTTACCGAATATTTAATCGAAATAAGCTCTTCGACTAAACCTAACTAGCGGACAACCTAGAATAAGCTCTCTAGATTTAATACACTAGCAGCATTAATTCCTAGGAAAATAGATCAGTCTAAGCAATGGACGCAAAAGCTCGGACCATTTAACTTATGCTCATGCTACCCTAGAGATGCACGACCCCTAGTTTACTACTAACGAAACGAGACAATAACAATTACGGATTAAAGTCTTGAATCTAGCAATTAAACTATGAATATTCAACCTAGCTGGCCAAACTAAATCAAACACCATAATTTATAAACATTAAATATAGATAACATGAATCAACTCATCAACAAAAATAAATACGACGTCTCAATTAACCAACGATAAAAAATAGATCATTCAATTCATAGACAAACTGAAATTAAGGTTCAAACATCCCCTCAAACTGGATAAAAATATTAACCTAACATACTAATAAAAATAAATAAATGATAAAAGAGAGAAGATAAAAATATCTCCCTCGTGTACGGGTGCGGCTTCCCTCCGCGTGTGTGCTCTCCGTCTGTGCGTGCTCTTCCTTTTTCTCTCCTCGCAAATAATTTCTCTGCTTCCGTCAATGAGTGGCGTTCCTCCTCACGTAAATAAAATCCCCAAAAATTATGTCTCCAGCCCTCACAAAAATATGGCCCTCCAATGCGTGAGTGTCCACAAAATTCACAACTCTTTCAAATCCATTTTTTTTTCCAAAATAAATTCTGGTT